TGTATTTCACACTTTTTTTTTTAGCAACCATTTATTTTAATGGACTCATGTTTTGTTTGCTTTCTGCATTATGAGCGTGACTTTGTGTGTTTGCTGCATTGTTCACCTTGTGTGAATACATTTGAATTTGTTTACTATGGAAGTCCATTTCTGCCAGGAAAAGACTTTGAAAAGGTGAAGTTAAAATAGTCAGAAGTCGGGATTATGAGAAACTTTGTGAGAAACTATCTTAACATAGTGTCTCAATCTTGGTTTGTGTCATAATCCTGATTAATCTCACAGTTTTGACTGACTTTGTGATGACTGAGATAGTGAGGAAATCAAGATTGTGAGATAATCTTGATTTGAAATTCTTGAGTTTGGCTTTTTCTCCATATCTTGATTTCATTATTTAGTCATGAGTTATTAAATAAGAGATACTAAAGATCTTGGTTCATTATCTCATGATCTTGACTCAATTTTATAAACTTTACTATATCATCATTTAACATAATCTTGATCAGCTTTATCCAAACCTTCTGTCTATATCAGAATTTTGGGTTCTGGTGAAGTCTGGATTTACTGTCTCAAGATCTTCGTGGTTGACAATCGTATCATCTTGACTTTTCTCTGAATATTGACTTTACTTTTTCTTATTTTGGGTTTATTGTTATAATATCACTGATTTCATAATCTTGGTATTCTGACTAATTAACTTGGTTAATCTCAATATTTTGTTCACATTTCCACATCTTGATTTATCTGTAAATTCTAACTTATCCAAGAATCTTGATTTATTTCATAACCTTGACAAACAACCTCCTGGTGTTAATTTAGTATTTATGGTTCAGAAGCCATAATCCTGATTTACTAATCTCAATTTAATATCTCATTATTCTGATATAAAAAATAAGGTTTGATTTACAATCTCGGATTCCTTATAACCGTGTAATCTCATGTTTTATACTTGATTAAGTGAAAAACTGACTTACAAAGTCTAAATCAAAAGTCAGAGTTTCGACTTACCGTCTCTTAATTGTGATTTAGCATGCTATTTTCTTTTTTTTTTTTATTCTTGAGTTTTTATTTGTTTTCTTTCCATGGCTGAAATGGACTTCTGTAGTTTCTCAGGGGCCTCACTTATGAAAAATCAGTTGTCCACATTGTGAGTTTTCTGCCTGGATCAATGCTCACACTTTTGATGTGTGAAGTCGGCTGCAGTCATCTGATTTCATCACAAAAATCAGCATATTTGGGTGCAAACAAACTTTGTTCACACAGCTTTTTCATAAATGACGCCTAGATGTTTGTGATATGGTGAAAAAGCTGACCAGATACACCTCGGTACACTCAGCTGTGAGTGTCTGACTTTTATTTTTCTTGATGTGTGAACTGACTGTCTATCACATGAGGCAGTGGCACTGAGGGGTGGGGGGGATTAAATAACTTCTTTATTTCACATTGTTTATATTTACAAATGTACACAGCAAATCAGACAACAGCCAAATGCACATCATGGGCTACAGATATTATAATGGAAAGTAATAAATATTAGTTTGTCAGGGTAGAGTTCTATAACTAGGTCTTTTACTGGCTAGCACAGTTTGTTGCATTACCTCTGCTGCACTGCCAACAGTTTTAGAAAGCTTGAAACAACAGACAAAAACATGAGCCACAGTTTATACATTTGTTCAAGTGAGTGTGGAAAACAGCCATTATGAAATGCAATGTCTGTCAACCTTAGACTTGCATTTCTAGCTTGTTAGCATCTTGGATAACAAGCTAACACCAGCTAGCTAACTAGTGTTGGCTTGTTGCAGAACAAACAATGATGGCTGGAGGTTACTAAGTTAACTGTTTTGTTGACCAAGTGAAAAAATAAAGCAGTAATTTTGATAATTGATTTTTGTTCCATGAAAAATGACATGAACAAATGCAACATTCTGTAACTGCAGGCTATTTTAGTTCTTTCATATAAGCCTATGTTTTGGATTGTTGGTCAGAGTAAACTGGGAGATAATCACTTTTACAATGATAAATTGTAATATTAAGTATTGTAGCACTGGATGGATTACTAAAGGCCCAGTGGCCAAAGGGGTCAGGGGGCCCCTGGTCTTTGCCTGTAGAATATCCACAAGATGTAAAATATCTACAGTGAGACTCAAAATGACACAGGCATGTTGTTTGTTTCTTGTGGGGATGGAGAGAGGAGTGGGTGGGTGTTCGGCCTTTACTTAGGCCCAGGGGCTTTTTGTCTAATAATCTGTCCATGGTAGCACTGCAGGAGAGGTAATACGTTAATGCCAGATCATGTATATTAGCTGTGTGGTTGGTGTTCTGGAGATGCTCTGTTCTGTGAAATACGAAGTATTAGCAGATAAAGTTAAAAGTTTCTGTGACGTGGTATTGTGCCATAAACTCACCAGATCAACTGTGTTAAAGTCTGAAAGGGTCAGTTTTTGTTTTATTGTCTGTATTCTCTTGTGGTTTTAATTTTTACTGTAATGTTACGGCGCTCACAGCCTCCCACGTCCAGTTAACGATGCTTCAAACTTCACCTAGCAACAAGAGAGATCAAACCTGATTGGATGATAATCCCTGATTTCTGAAAGCTCTTATCCAATCAGACGCTCTTATATATCTCACCTTCTCTCGCTTCTGAAAACAGAATCAATGTTTTAAAGATGCACTGGATCATCATCATCACCACCTTCATCCTCACCTTTTGCCAAATGGTTTTTGTTTAGAAAATGGGCATTTTATCTTGTTTTTGTTTTTTTTTCTTTTACTTTGTCCATGACTCTTCTGTTGTACTGAGGGAAAAATGGGGAAGAAATTGAAACAAAAAGTAAAACGAGACAAAAACACCATCTCAAGGCAGCTAAGTATGAGTGACTACTGTATACTAATAAAGAAGCAATGGGTTTGTTTTTACTTCCTGTCTCTTCATTTCCTTTCAAGAAGATTTTAACCTACAGTTTGGCGATAAATAAAGCAGTTAGTAAAAGGAAATAAAAAAAAAGTAAAAAATACTCAATGTAAAATATGAGAGGATGTTGATTTCTGTAGTAGTGGAATTACTACGAGTGTAGACAGAGAAATGACAGTTTTATCATCTGTTAATTTGTTTGGCAGTTTTTCCTTATTAATGTATAATTAATCATTTGAGGTTCAATTTCTTTTGAGAACAGTACAAAAGCAAAATGTCCATCACAGCCAGCAAGGTGACACTCAGAAGGGTAAAGAAAGTCACTTTCGGCTTTCCCCGTTTAGAGGTCGCCACAGAGAACCATCACACTGACGACTGGCATGTTGACATTTGGCACGTGTTTTACGCCGGATGCCCTTCATGACGCAACCCTGATTCGAATCCGGGCCGCAGCGGCGACAGCGCTGCGCCTTAACCACTAGCCTAGCAAAAGGGTAACACCTGCATATTGAATTTAAGCCACAAAATTGATTGAAAAAGATATTTTAATCCAAAACATCAAGTCAAATGGATACTCCATCCATAAACACAGACACTGTCAGTTTAAGTACACCAAGGTATGGTCTAATACACAGTACTGCATTATCAAAGAACTATTTGTGTTATTTAATCTCACTGACATGATTGGGGTGGGCAAAATAAAAACAGCATTCTGTACAGTTCTACAGTACACCCACCCTGTACAGTACACCCTCCTAATACACTGAATATGTATCTACATAAAGGCCTGTGTAGAGAGATAGACATATAAAGTTTTTATAACCTGTTGTAAGGCTCACATTAATATTGAACTTTTTCAACTTAGAGAAACAGGAAGCATAATGTTGCCATGGATACAGTATCATAAAATCAATGTGAGATGCAATTTGGGGTTGCTGTGGCTCACGAGGTAGGCAGTCGTCTCCTGACCAAGTTGGTGGTTCGACTCCCGGCCTCCCCGCATGCCTAAGTGTCCCTGAGCAAGACACTGAACCCCGCATTGCTCCCGGTGGCTTGATTAGCGCCGCTGTGTGGCAGCCTGTCGTCATCGGTGTGTGAATGGCTGAATGGTGTATCATCTCCTGTAAAGCGCTTTGGCTAGTGCAACACACTGTGGGAATATGCGCTATATAAATACAGTGCATTTGGCCTCGGTTGTAAGTCGGTAGCACGTTTTGGATCACTATGTATGCCGAATTGACTATTAGCAGTTCATTTTTTCTGTGTAGTAGTCTGTTGGATGTACTGAAAGAGGTCACTGAACCTTAAAAACCCAATGATTCCTAAGCAAGTTCCAAAGCATTTAAAGTCCGGTTCAGTACATGTCAATGCACACTGCAGTCCTAGTGTTAGTCTATGTTTGTTGACGTTCTGGGACAGTAACAATGCGGAATTAAGTATTAACAGTTCATTTTTGCTACGTACTATTGAATGTCCTAACAACAATCAATGAATTAGCCTACTCTGATATTAAATAATTCTTAAAATCCCTGTGATTTTCAGGCATAGTGAGGGTTTGAAGCGTTACCACCCCGCACCACTGTACATGACCTCATAATTACGAGATCTTTGTTGTGAACGCAGTGTGCTTCCATACGAAACTGTACTGAATTACAGAACTTGGGTAACTGAACTGATGTGCGTCAACTACAGATTTCAACGAGTCCGACGGCCTCTGAATGCAGCACGTCGTCGTCACAGTGCGTGATATCCTTCCGCGGGAGAGAAGCGTACGGCCCTTTCCCTCTCGACAATACAGGATGTGAACGGGCGGCGGTGAAGCCTCGAGACGTTCTTCTGCAACAGGGCCGTTACAATTTCCCGCACCATCCAAGTGAAAACCCCAACATAGCACCGGGGAACCTCCGCCTCTTTTCTCACCGACTGAACCCGCCCAGTGGCTGGCACCGATCGAGCTCCGTGGAAGAAATATAATCCCGCTGTGAGCGCTGCGCGGCAACCGAAAGTGTCCTAGTGAAGAGCGAGAGAGCCGGGGTACAGAATGGAGCTCATCACTATCCTCGAAAAAACTGTCTCTCCAGGTGAATATCAGCACGGCACACCTCACACACAACATGCCCGGACTATGAGGCTATATTTAGGAGTGGTGGGTGCTGTGTAGGCGCGGCGGTGGGTAGCTCCGGCGAACCGGTGAAAGTTTGATGGAGGGAAATGCCTCGCTAGCGGGCTGCTAGTTCGTAATGCGAAACCTTGCTAACATTACGGCCTCAATCACCTTTGGCTCCGCAGCTGATTTAGCACTGTCGGGCGTTTAATCACAGTTTTACACTGTAATTGGCTCGACAGTCTATTCTAGTAATGTCTAAATGCGTTGCCATCTCATCATAATGTACGCGTAGTTTCATAGAGGCTAGGCTAACATGACAGCTGTGTGTACCCTGTTGGTAACGGCGACCCTGCCCATGCCTGATGTAGCCTTTTTGCTAGCTCGTTAGCCGTTAACGTGTATCATTCAAACTATCGGCCGTTTCCTCGCACGTTTGCCCGGCTAACGTTACTTTAGAGCCACCGAGAAGAGACAAAAGTCCACCCATTAGTTTTGTTCATTATCTCCTCCAGCTTTAAGTTGAGTTGATGATATTTTAACCGGCTTGCTGTTTGCCCCAGTAACTTTATAGCCTTCATTTCAGTCGTGAGCTAATGTTAGCAAGCTAACCGAGAATCTCCTGCTAACACGCACGTTGGAGCTTCGGGGTGTTTCTCTATACAGACAGGCTGTTATCACTAACGTAGTTAATGTAAGATAACTGTAGTAATTCTGCATCATGTGTTTACAAGAGCTGCCAAGTCTGTTCAACTGACCTGTTTAAGGCTCAAATCAGAACGTTCGCAGGGTAGCCGTGTGTTACCCTGCAGGCTAACCATGTCCGTTGGCTAATTAGCTAACATTACACTGAATCACCCCTCTCCCCCTCTCTCCTCAGATCGCAATGAACTGGAGGCGGCGCAGAAGTTTCTGGAGCAGGCGGCCATAGAGAACCTGGTTAGTATGTTGGCTACCTGGTGTTTCTATGCTGGTGTTATTTGCCAGGGTGGAGGGCAAGCTAATGCACCTGCAGTTGCAGAGAGGAGCTCTGGACAGCTGGAACCCGCCCGGTTTCTCCTCCTCTGCTGCTGCCTCCCTCCCTCCCCTCCATTAATTCTCTCTCACACACTCGGACAGCCTGCTAGCGTTAGCATTTCATGAAGAGAGATGCACCCATGTGATGTGGATAGGGCTGCGGGTCCGTGGTTTCTCTGCTTGCACTAATTTTACAGGGTCAATTTATAGGGTCAGTTTGTCCAATATGAACTGCAGGTTATTTATAGTTCAACATCACTGAGGGGGCCTCAGCATTCTTTGCAGGTAAAATACAAACATCTAGTGTGGTTTTAGATGGAGGAAATGGAATTTCAATGTTATTTCCAAGACACTCACATGCCATTCATACAGGAACATGGCATGGCATGTTGTTCCTCCTGAGCCACAGTGCGATGTAGAGCACATACCAAAGAACAAGATAATTGAAGTAAACTAAGAAAAGGCTGAATATTAACATAAGAGAACATTACCCAAAGGAACTTCCAACTTGTATTTATAACATTTATGTAATGTCAACTAACTACTTTGGCTGACATACTTTAACTCACATGTGTCAAACTCAAGACCCGCGGGCCACATCCGGCCCGGCATACGATTACATCCGCCCGTGAGATCATTTTATATATCATATTTTAATGGTCCAGCGATGTCAAGCGCCGATAACATACAAACTACAAATCCCATAATGCAGCGCAACAGCTGCCTTACCAATATAGGCTACCTGCGATCATTCCTGCATCAATTACATCAGATCAATCAAGCGTCTGTTGATGTATACAACCCTAATTTCAAGTCAAAGCCTTTAACAAGGGCCAAGAGAAAAGTTGATTCTGAAAACAGAGCCTTTCTAAACCGGTGGGAGGCTGAGGATATGTTTACTGACATTTGTCGGTAAACCCGTGTGTCTTATTTGTGGAGCTAATGTGGCTGTAATTAAGGAATATAACCTAAGA